TTTATTTCATAGGAAAAGAGATTCTAAGACAGAAATGTGAAAGAACTGTTTGTTAGGTTGGAATGGGTACACGGACGCTGGGTACACTACCACATGTGCTTTTATGCGTGCTTGATAGTTCATTATAAAATAAAAAGTAATAGAAAGGAAGAGGCTAGCACTGCCCCAGGGATGGAGAGATGACGACCAAGGTGAAGGACACGTTGGGTTTGTACACAAAGAGATGTCTGGTGAATCAAACAGAAGCAGACGCTGGGTGAGTGGGGTGGGGAGGAGAAGGGATGAAGAACCCAGAAAGTAGTGAACTATAGAGCAGTAGAGCAGGATGCGGACTTGAGGAGACTTTTTATATAGCTGCTTTGGAGAGCAGGAAAGAGACCTCAGAGGAGGTTCACCAAATCCCAGCCAACATCCCGCTGAAGGCTGCAGCCTGAGTTATGGAGACATCTACCACAGATGTACATCTCTAACAGGGCTCCCCGGTGGAAGATGAAAAGCAGAAGCCATATTCAGCCGAGTGAAAGGGAAAGACAAAGACACAGGAGCCCAGAGGACTAGGAGCGTCGTTGAAGGAAGGGGCTGGTAGGAAGCGTGGCGGCAGAAGCAGAGGGTGTGACGGAGAGGAAGGGAGGATGACTGTGGGCAGTGGGCACCACACTGGGCATCTCAGAGGAAGTTCGAATAAGGTGCGGGAGGCGGGGCTGGTTCCAGGTGTCCAGAGCGCATGCTTGGTTGACTAAAGTGAGGGAGGGGAAGAGGCTGAGAAGGCCAAGGAGTTGAGAGGCCAAGGAGTTAGATTTTCCACATGGAGTTTGATGTCACAAGGAGGAAGGTAAGCTCCAGGGAGGAGAGGAGGACACCAACTCAGAGCCGCATGCGGAAGGCTCCAGTGATGTGGAAGGCAGCACAGGGAGAGGGGCCAGATGGAACCAGCCTCAAAGATTTAATGTCTGCAAATGGCTCCCCTGCCTGAGAAGGCCCAGCCTCCACGAAGGGGGGCTGCAGGAGAGACCGGGGAGCAGGCACCCTGAGCGAAGGCTGAGAAATGGAGAGAGTATTCTAGTCCAGGCTGACATGAGAGGAGTTCGCTCTCTGCAGTGGCAAAGCTGGGAGGGAGAGGAAGGGTGGGGAGTTGGGTAGGGAAGAGCAGGGAGAGGTCACTTGCCTGAGTCTTAGGTGTGGGGCTGTCCAGGAGCCTCAGACCATGAGGGATGGAGGGTTTAGAAGAAAGTTCACATTCCATCAGACATGTCCAGCCTCCACGAAGGCAGCAGTTAACAGTGAAGCCAACGTGGTTGGGCCTGGAGAGGAGACAACTTTCTGGGTGTCGGATGCCCCACCAGGTCCTGGGGAGTAATAAGACACAAGCCCTAATCTAGGTGAGCCAGAACACCCAACTCGATTTCCTAGTAAGTCCGGGATGTTTCAAGTGTGTAGAGCCAAGGAAGATTCTCCCAGCTGAGAACGGAAAGAAACCATTGCCCAGCGTGAGGAAGGGCGTGAGGGGGGCAGGTAGCTGCACCCCTGCTGGTGGGTGGCAGGTGGGGAAGATGATGAGGGTCTTTGTGTGGCTGGGACCAGCGGGAGGGAGCCGCTGAGAAGGGCTCATCAACAAGTGGCTCTGCCTCTCAGAGTCTGGTCCTACAGGGCTGGAAAAGACCTGGCAGCAAAAACCCCACAAGTGAGCACCCCCTGTGAGGCCAGCATTTACCTTTCTCAGCTCTAACCTGCACTGCTGAAACCAGGACTCCACAGCAGGCACTGGCAGCCTCACTTTACTTACAGATAAACTGAGGCTCAGAGATTCAGTGACTGGCTCTGGGTCATCTCAGGTCTTGTCTGACTCTAAGTCCTGCTCACATACCATCTCCTGCTCTGCAGAAGAAAGCCCCTGCATTTCGGGCAAGAACTACAGCAGCCTCTACACTCCCCACTGGGAGAAGTCGGGACCCACCGTGGTTAGGGGAGAGCCAGGTCCTTCCCCCTCACCCCCAGGGGTTTGTGATTTGAGAGCAAGAGAGCTGTTGAAACACAGAGAAGCCAGGGTCCATGTTTAGCTGCTCTGGGCACAGAAACAGTCACTCAGGGTCAGCCAGGGGAAGGACAGCCGAGCCCAGGGACAGCTGCCAAGTCAGCACGGTTGTGGTGTCCGCTCTGGCCTCCGCCTTGGCCCACCCCACACTTACACATGCCCCTCGGTTCCTCTCCTGCACTGTCCTCTACAGAGGTCAAGCCAGCGCTAGCCGTGGGCACAGCCCTGGACCCTGAGAGCCAAGTCTTGCCCAGGGCCCTCAAATCTATATGCCCTACAGCTAGATGTTTGTGTGAGAAAGACCGGCGGGTGGCGCAACAGCTGGTGGGACAGTGACGTGGACTCTGGTACGTGAAATGTGCCAGGCACAGGCAGAGTCAACACCCCGTGGTGCCAGCAGAGATAAGGGCTGTCGCTGTTTATTTGGTTGGTTCTGGGCACATAGCGTTCTGCATCAGCAAGGGTCTAAGGCCACTGGCAAGGATCCTGAGATGATGATGATGGTGAAGGGGGCGAGAAGACCTGCGGGACCAGAAAAAGAAACACCCGAGCAGGGAGTCACGACTGAAGGACTTGACCTTGCCATCACTTGGGTTTGGGCCTCCTGGAAGCCCAGGAAGACGGACATGCAGTCAGTTCCATCACTGTCGTATCAGGATACGGAAACACCCCAGATTCAGAGGGGGAAGAAAATTTTTCCAAACACTCAGGTGCAAAATAAACATTTCAATGGGATTCTACATATAGGGACCTTTGAATCATACAAATGGCAAATTTTGTACAAGATCAAGGGGGGAATCCCAAACAGATCAGCTCCTGGTGACATGGACAGGTGTATGAATAGAATGAAAAGGGTCTGACCTCTTTGAGGTGGAAGTCCTGTCCACTAAAATATTGACTAAAATTAACAAATAGCTTTTTTTTTTTAAGATTTATTTATTTGTGCATACAGAACTGGGGTACAGGCCAGAGACTCAGGGGTGGCGAAAGACTTTACCAGAGACAGAGTGGGGAGCAGAACAGGCAGATGGATGAAGTACACTGCTGAGGGGAGCAGCGGGTGGGTCAGGAGAGGTCTGCCGCACCATGTGGTCACCTCCAGGGCAGGCGGGAATCGAACTCATGCGGAAGTGATTTCAGCTTCTTACTGCAGTGCTTTAACCCACTGCGCCACCAGGGAGGGCCAACAACAAATAGCTTTTAATTGGCTAATATTGCTCTTTTTTTTTCTTTTGCTAATATTTAAGAGTACAATGTAGAAAATATAAAAATATGTATGTAGAGTCACCCATAATGCCACCACCTGCACTGGTTTATTTTTCAACTTTTTTTAAGTCTAGGTTTATATTTACATGTGTTTTTTACAAATGTCTTTTTTGGCCATCAAGCTGTCTGGTAAGCTGACTTGTCATTTAAAGAGTATATCATACATAAGCATGCATATCAACAAATGCTCATTCCAAACATGATTTTTAATGGAGATTAGTGCAAACATACAATAAGTTAACAACCTCCTCTTGTACCTTATTTTGTTTTTCACATTTTAATGCTAAACATCACTGCAAAGGACATCTTTATAGCAAGATGCACGCACTCCATGCCTACTTCCTTGACACACATATTAAAATGGAAGAGCACTTTCTAGACAGGTCCACTCCTACTCACAAACCCTTTGCAGTAATACTAAAGATGGCCCAGCTAGGTTGGAACCAGTGATTTAGACACTAAACGGATGAATGCAACATGGAGCCTTCAGTGACTTTTTGTGAACATGGCAAATTGAATCCCTACATCTAATTTTACCTTTATCTTTTTTCCAGAAACCTCCTTAAAACTATAAGGTAGACAATTTGATTTTCTAGGAAAAAATGTAGACTCACGGGAACAAGAAAAGTGGAAGAAAAGACCACAGCAAGACTTTCGAAGCTAGAAAGCAGACAGGTCAGTTCTAACTCATAATAGACCTGTGAAAGCAATAGAGACAGATGAGCTCTAATCTGATGTACTGTGCAAAATTCACAAGACTGAAGAACTGCAGTATTCCTGCTGCTAACTCCTGCTGCACCTGTGTGTGAATTAGAACTGGCCTCCTCTTTCTCAAAACACTCTACTGCCCTCTGCCAGAAATGTGTCCTAATGAATATACAAATTCCATAAAGGCCATGGTGTTAAGCTGGCACAGATGTGTGTAACAGCCCTGAACTGCAGACACACAGGAACCACCGAGACATGAGTGAAGAGGTTATGTAAACTATGAAAGACTGGCTGAAACTTTTTTAAAAGCAAGGAAAACTTTAGCTTTTCTCTCTCAGCTTGGTAGAAGAGTGAAGGTTTATTCTCTGAAAAGGGTAAGTCCAGACATCTGTGGAAAGAGAACACCAGGCAGAGTTAAGGCCAGGAGACCTGTGTTAGAAACAGAAAGATTCAAGTATGTCTGCTCATCCCCATCCTGCTTCTTTTACTTGCCCCTGAGAGGAACACTGAGAACCAGGCCTTCACCCTTCAAGCAGGAAAATGGAAGAAGCTGGCTGAGGAAACAGCACTAGCTCAAAAGGAAGCACTAACATTTGTACCTGGGGGTCCCCCAGGTGAATGCTCCAGTAGATCATCCTACAGTGAAGTTCTTAGACAAGAGCTACTTGTGGACTTGGAGTTTCAAATCAAATGTCCCATTTTTCATTTAAGCAAACAAATGAAGGACATAAGTCATTTGAAGAAAGTTCATAACATAAGAGAGAAAACTGAGACAAACATCAAACAAAAATTGAGACTGTGCTGAAAGAACAGTTAAAAATATCATTTAGGCCCCCTTGGGTGGCGCAACGGGTTAGGACGCAGCACTGTAAGCTGGTCACAGCCGCTTTAGTGAGGGTTCGATCCCCAGCCCTGGAGGTAATCCACATGATGTGGTGGATCTCTCCTGACCCGCCCGCTGCTCCCCTCAGCAGTGTACTTCATTGATCTGCCTCTTCTGCTCCCCACTCTGTCTCTGGTGAAGTCTCTCACTGCCACTGCCCCTGTGGTCTGTACCCCAGTTCTGTATGCTGTATGCATAAGTAAATTAATTTAAAAAAAACATTTACCAAAAAAAATTGTTAAAAAAATATATTATTTAATTTCACTGGCGATTTGAAAGACTGTATGACCCTGATGAAACAAGACCAGGGTACCATAAAGGGTACCAAAAATTCCAAAAGGAATTTTTTTTTAATCTTGCAAAATAAATCAGGATTGTAGAAACAAAAACAGAACAGAGGGTGAAGAAATCTCCCAGACAAACAAAAACAGAACAGAGCGTGAAGAAACCTCCCAGAAAGAAGAGCATGCAGAGATGGAAGAAAAGAGACAAGAATATTAGAACACCAGTCCAGGCAAGTCCTATAATTGGGAGAAATGAAGAAAAAGGTATAATCACCTTGGAAAGCAATTCAGCATTACTTGGTAAAGATGAACACACATGTGCTGTATAACTGAGCAAGGAAAAAAAACATGCATTGCATTTATTCATTCATTTCCTTAACAAACATTTATTGAGAATCTATTAAGTTGCAGTCACTACCCTAGGCATCAGCTCTACAAAAACAAGCACCTCTGCCTTCTCAGAAGCCGGTCAAGAGTCTTCCTCCCAATGCAGCACTAAAGTATGGCACGCTCCGACTTAATTCTGTACATAAATCTTGAGGTCCCAGGCAAGGAGTCTCCAAGTAGACCTCCTGTGGGCAAAATAGATGCATAAAGAAATTGGAATTCTTCTGTAGTTCAAAGAGGAAAAAAAAAAATACGACCAAGGCTGTATAGAAAAAGAACCAGTTAAATTTTAATAATCTTCAACAGAGTTGTCCAAAGAGAAAATCAATCATTTTAGGAGGTTGTAAACTGGCTGTGAGTGGAGTTTTTAATACTAACGAACATTCACATAGCCAGCAATTGAGTGGTGACCACGTGCCAGGCACGTGTGTTAGGCTCTGTGTATTCTTTAGCTATTGGCTGTATAACACACCACCCCCAACATTTCATGTCTTATGAGCTCTCACAATTTCTTGCGCTGGCAGCTTGATTGTGTGGTTCCGCCATGAGATTGTAGGTGGATGTCACTGGGGGACTGTGGTCATCTGAAGGTTTCACCAAGTTTAAAAGTTTGTTTCCAAGGTGGCTTACTCCCCTGGTTGATGGAGGAGGGGACCTTTCATGCGCGAGTATCTTCACAATATGATGGTTCCACTTTTTCTCACTCAGAGTGAATGATCCAAGGGAAAGCCGTGTGAAAACCACAGCTCCCTTTATGACTTAGCTGTCAGAGTCCCGGCTTCCTCAATGGCTTGTTCCTCACAAAGGTCAGTCGTCTGCAATAGGAGAGGGCTAGGAACCAGGATCAGTGAACCTTTCTATATACAAACAAGTGGGGTGCCTGGCCTCAAAAGGCTGTAAGTATAGAGTTATGACTATTTGTTAGAGATGATGTCAAAGAAATTGGACCGAGAGACAAGGTGGTTTCCTCCAGCCCCAGTGTCCTGGGATCTAGTGTTTCTTGGTCGTGGCTCTTCAGTCACCACACTCCCAATAGACTGAAGGAGCGGGGGGCTAGTGGGCAAAGGCTGACAGTCATAGAGCCAGCAAGCATGGGCTCAGTGACCGAGCTCACTTGCAAGCGCTTCACCCTCTGGATGACAAACAGGGGTGATAAGTCAAAGTAAGGCAGTGGAAAAGTACCCCAAAGTAGGAAAAAGCCCCCAGGAGGTTTTGAGAGAGGTGGAGAGTCCCCAGAGGCCCTATAAAAAAGGAAACCAGCACCCTGACACCAGGCTCCTCCCTGGGACCCCCTCCTGCTCTCAGGACTCTTTTGAAATAAACCTGAGCTTGCTGATCTTCAGTCGGGTGTGCTGTGATTATTCCTCAATCGCTTGAACACAAGAACCCACCACTACCGGCAACCACATTGCTGTGCCTTCAATCCTGGAAACAACAGGAATGTTCTGTGATGATGCCAGGAGCACACTGCCTCCCTTCGCAGGGGCTGCGTTTGGCCCAGCTAGGACAAGCCTTCAAGAGCAGCAAGGCCCTGTGGGAACAAGAGGAGAACAGGCCTCAGACCCTCCCTTTGCCCCGCTGGGTTTTCTCTCCCTACCTGGGGCCCCTCCATACTCCAGAGCCCTCAGGGGCAGTCACTCCACTGATGTTCTCAAATGATTTGTGACCTTCGAGCTTTGGGGATGGGTACAGGGACTCGGCTAGAGTCTCAGCCTGACCCCGGCCAGTGTTGCTCAAATACTTCTTTGGGGGCTTTAACCCAGGACCACTGAGAAACCCTTTATCCTCGTGTCACTGGAGAAGCGGTGGAACTTCGGGCCTGAACCTGAGCAGGGCTCTGTGGAGTGTTGGGTGATAGAGAAGTGCTCTGTGCACTCGCAATGAACTCTGAGTGTGCGGTTCTCCTGGGCTTAAGTGCTTCAATCTTGCCAGGTGGTAAAGACTGGATCCTAGAGAAGCTCTGATGAGTTTTTATTTCTTTCCAATTTTTAAAGTAATATTAGTAGGATGGCTACTATGTTTGGGGGGAAGAAACAGAAAATAACAAGTGTCAGAAAAGATGCGAAGAAGTAAATCCATGTGCACTGTGGGTGGGATATAGAATGGTACTGTCACTATAAAATGATACTATATGGCAGTTTTTCCAATAAGTCAACATAGAAAAGCTACATGGTCCAGCGATTCCACTTCTGAGTACTTACGGAGAAGAATTAAGAGCAGGGACTTGAACATATATATCCACACCCATAGGTATAGCAGTATTATTCACAGTAGGCAGAAAGTGGAAACAACCTAGGTTCCATGGACAGATGACTGGACAAGCAGAATGTGGTCAGGTATACAGTGGAATATTACTCAGCCTTTAAAAAGGAAGGAATTCTAACATGCTACAACATGGATGCAACTTGAGGATTTTATGCTAAGTGAAATAAGTCAATCACAGAAGGCCAAGTATTAGACAATGGCAGAGATAAATTCATAGAGACAGAAAGTAGAATAGTGATTGACAGAGTCTGGGGGGAAGGGGAAATCTGCTGTTTAATGCGGACAGAGTTTCAATTTAGGAAGATGAAAGCTTTCAGGATCTTGTTGGAAATGGATGGTGGTGATAGTTGCACAACAAGGTGAATGTACTTAGTGTCACTGAACTGTCCTTTTAAAAGTAGCTAAAAGAATGCAATTATTTTACTGCAATAAAAAATGTATTACTAAGTTACTCAAAATATTAGGCATAGAATTATCCTATGACCCAGCACCTCCACTCCCAGGCATTTACACCAAATAATTAGAAACTCATGCTATATTTTCACTAAATAATTAGGAACTCAGATACGTCTACGTCCATGTCATAGCAGCATTATTCACAATAGCCATAAAGAAACAACTCAAGGGCTCACCAGTTGATAAAATGATACACTAAGTGTGGTATAGTCATACAGTAGAATATCATTGTACAATCACAAAATGGAATATTACTCAGCCATAAAAAGGACAAAATGTGATACATGTGTGACAACATGGGAAAGCCTTAAAAATATGCTAAGTGATATCAATCAGACACAAAGACCAGGGTTTATGATCCCACTTACATGAACTATCTAGAACAGGCAAACACAAAGAGACAAAAAGTAGGTTAGAGAATATCAAGAGCTGAAGTGGGGAGTGGAATGGGTGGAACATCAACTTACCCTCCTTGCACATTGACATACAGGGGCACGTGCTTAACAAGGCCATTTAATACCAGAACTTTTTTTTTTTTTAACTTAAAGTATCTGAGCCTCCACCCATAAATAAAAAGATTCACCAAACCAAATTAGCGCATTTCGCTTGAACTCAGGACCTCATGAGCAACCTGAGACCCACTCTCAGAATGCCTCTGAAAAGGTCGAAGAAAGCTGGCTGATCACTCAGGTGTGCCACCATCTTAGCTGCTAGAAACATCCCTTGGTTTACCTGGGGAGAAAGAGACTGGCCACCTGCAAACTTAGAAAAAAGGAAGAGCACCTTCCCTGACAGGATTAATGAGGATTAATAGGTATCCCTCAGACAAACCAGCAGGACCCCGGGACAGATCAGAGAGGTCATGGGCAAAAGGCATGGCCACCAGAGTGCAGGAACTGGTCAGTCAACGCACAGAAGTCCACTCAGAAAGAAATAAGCAGAAAATGAGCTCATTCAAACATACCTGGACATCCCAGGGAAAGCCGGATACCTGGTTTGGAAAATAAACACGAATGAGCACAGCTAATGCGGAAACATGACCAGCCACTCCACAACACGAGAGGCCTGATCAGGGCCAGTGCCCCTGAGCCAGGACAACCCAGGTGCCCAGCAGCCATACCCACCCAGCTTGGACTGGGGCTTTAGCGTCCACACCTCCCACCCCAGAAAGGATCCTCCACTGTCCTATTTCTTTACACCAGCTCCTTATTCTGAGCCCGGAGCAAAGGCATCTGTTCTGAGCACCAGCACCAGGCCATACCAAGAGGAAGGGGTGGTGGAAGGTGAGCAGCTGCCACTTCTAGCGTCTCTTGTGGGAGCCAGGCTTTGACACGCATCAAGACTTACAAAACATTCCCCGCATAAAGCGAGGGAGGCTCAGAAACTGGAGCGCCCACCGGCTGACATCTGCCAGGTCAGGGATCCACGTGACTGAGGGCCAGGTGAGAAACCTTGGGGTGGGAGAGAAGCCATCTTCATCCATGAGCCAGGGCCAGGCAGGACACTTGGAGACCTGAAGGATGGTCCTAGGCACCCCAGGAGAGCTTTCCATGACTCATCCTAAAAGCTCAGCCTTGGAGAGAAAATAATAAGAATAATGAACAGCCATATACCAGACATTTTGTGGGAGTGGAGTGGGGGATGAGATCAAAAAAGGGGGGGGAGGGAAGTGCACGGGACTATGGTGATGGCACATGGGTGACTCGGTGATGGGAAACCCATGGGGATTACAACTGAGATGGAAAAAAAAATGTACAAAATGATGTAAAAATAAACTATTATGTTATAAAAAAAAAAAAAACCCAGCCTTGGGAGACACTGAGGAGTCTGGAGCCCACTTCAGTGGCTGACCAGCTCACAGGTGGCATCTGAGGGTACCTCAAGTTTTCAGGTCTGCCCTGCACCCTCTGTCTGACCCTTTCCTAAGCTGGGAAACCTACAAGCACCTAGTGGGTTGTCAAGGTGTGTTCACAGGTAGATGCTTGCCCTGCTTAGTGGGGTAAGTGTGCTGGTAAGTGTGCACCTGACCAGCTCAGGGATCACCCCTAGGCCATTGCTGTGGTCACAGAGCAGTGACCTGGGGTTGGGGAGATTAGTGAGTGGAAAGAGAAATCACACTCATTGGGCACCAGTTATGCTGTGGCAGTGACTGGACCAACTGGTAGACAGTTGTCTTGCCTGTACTTGGCCCAATGTTATCCTAAGATACCTAACATGTACTGTTCCATTAGCCCTCCCAGCCACCTAGCTGAGCATCATTGTCACCCAGCTTCCAAAAGAGGCACCTAGTAGTCAGTTTACCCAATTCCCAACCTGCCCCAATTAAGCAGACAGACATCCAGCCTGGCCCCAGGGCCAGAGGCACTGAGGCTGGACCAGACTCTGCCTGTGGGGGCCCTGTGAGAGCAACTTGGGAGGGAGAAAGCCAGTCCAGAGCATTAAAAGCCCTGCTCCTCAGGCTCCCAGGGAAAACCCATCAGGTCTGCACCCCACTTTAGGCAGAAAAGGGATGCTAGACTATACTAGAAGACCTAGGGTCAAATGTTAAGAGCCAAGTCATTTGAGCAAAGTCTTGAACTTGAGGGGCCCTCCCTGGTGGTGCAACAGATTAAAGCGCAGCACTCTGAAGCACAAGTTCGATCCCCGGCCCTGGAGCTGACCCACATAGCACAGCAGACCTCTTCTGAGCTGCCCGCAGCTCCCCTCAGCAGTGTATTTCAGTAGATCTGTCTGTTCTGCTCCCCGCTCTGTCTCTGGTGATCCTCTCAGCCCCCTGCACCTCTGGCCTGTCCCGCAGTTCTTATATGCATAAATAAATACATCTTAAAAGAAAAAAAAAAGCTAAGTCTTGAACTTAAGCTCCCTCTGCTCTGGGGCTCCCTTCTGGTGGGCTCTGTGAGTCTCCTGGGTGGAAGAAGAGCCCAGTGCAGAGGCTACAGCTGCTCACAGCTGGCCGTGCTGACAAGACAGCTCAGAGCCCAGCACCTGCACCAGTGGCTGGTGACCTGGGCCTCCTTGCAAAGGACTCCTGGGCAGAGACCCTAGGTACTGCTCCCCACTGTGCCCCAGGACTCACCAGCATCTCTTGGCCATGCTCCTCAATTCTGGAAGCCGTGGCCTTAGCCGCCAAGAAATTTCTGAAATAAGAAGAAGTCGTGTTTATAATGGGACTGGGGTGCAGTGGGGTGGGGTAGAATAACCCAAAATTCACATACATAAGTCAAGTCGAAGGCACGGAAGAGATACCCACAGAGAGACCGTCTAGCCCACAGTGCCATGAGCTCTCCAGAGCCCAGACCAGGTCCTGCTGACCCCCAGGCCCCTAGAGAAAAGGGCAGTGCGAGACCCACGCTCCACCAATGCTGTGCCGCTCATCGTCCGGTGCCTACAACAGTGCCTGGCACAGGGGGGCATTCAGTAAACACGTGGCTATGAAGCAGGACAGTGCCGGTGGGGGGCCCAGTTTGCAGGTTTCCACTCACATGCACAACGGCAAGACCACTCAGGCTCAGGGAGCGACAGCGAAGGGGGTTATTGAGCAAGCAGAAAACAGTGCTGAGGCCGCGGGGGGAACGCGGAGGGGGGTTTTGGGAGAAGAAAAAAAAGGGGCGGGGGCCCGGGGGGGGCTTTCCCCCCCCCCCCCCCCGGGTGCGGCCGTGTGCAGAGGCCCCAAACAGAAGACCGCTCCTTCAAGATGGTGCCATCCCACCCGCAAGGGCCTGGCGCACACGGGGGCTGGCCGTGGGCCAGGACTGAGCTCCGCATAGCTGGAGGGCCGGGACGCCAGGTGGCCCCCGCCAGTGTGAAGCTCAGCATGGCCGCACAGGCTGAGCAAGCAGCCTCGCAGGCAGGAGGACGTCCCCTGTTACCTGCACTCAGCTCACGGAGTGCCACTCTCGGCCAGCTGTGCCGGCCACCGGCACCATCCAGCCCTCGGAGTTGCTGCAGAAACACCAGGTCCAGCCCTCTCACCAGGCAACACCTCCTGAGACGCCGGGCCAGGGGCTGGAAGCGCTTTCCAGGCAGCCACTCTCCTCGGGGTCGGCTGCTGGGAGCTTCTTTCTCTGAGGCCAAACACAAAATGGGAGTCTGAGAGCCCCACGCTGGCTCTGCCTCGGTCAGGGCGCCCGCCCTAGCTGGTACCTGCCTGATGGGATCACGTTAGGGCCACCAGCCCGTCTCACACTGAATAATTAACTAGTGAGCAGATGAACACCGTTGGTTCCTTTAGCTCACACCTCACTGGCCCATCCTAGGATCCAGGTGCCCGGCAGCAAAAAGCTAACACAGCCCCATCAGGCCCGCCTGCCCGGCGTTCCCGCAGGGGCGTCATGTTCAAAGCCGGCTGGCACCGGCCTGGGGAGGGGCTGCCCACAGGCTGCAGCTTCTGGCCCTGTTTTTCCAGTGGCTCCCGCTGCTTAGGCAATGATAGGAAATTGCCAGGCTGGAACCCCAGTCCACACAGGGCGCGGGACTGAGGGGCTTACACTTGCTCCTGAAGCGTGTGCGACAGCTTTCCCAGCTCCTGCTTAGAAGCCTCTCCACACCCCTTCTCAGCGTGCCCCTCCCCACCTCTCCTGCAGTCTCATCTCCCCAACCTTTGGCACCCCCCCCAGTGTTCCTTGCTGACCGCAGCTAAGCTGTGCCAAGCATTGTGCCATCCCCACCTCAAGCCCCACGAGACAGACAAGTCACACTGCAACCAGACTGAGCTCGTTTCTCAGCGGTTTATTGAGTAGTCAGAAGCGCTGTCATTTCCCACTGGACACGTATCCTCAAGGAGGTACAAGAACTGCTTTGGGACAGACAGACAGACAGGCGGCAGGGCAGGACAGGTGCCGGCGGTGGGGCGGAAGCACCAGGGGCAGCTCAACTCTCCAGGGGGGCTGGGGGCTGCGCCGGCTCCGGGAGGGCCAGGGGCTTGTCCTGGCTCTCTGTCCCCTTGAAGCTCTTGAAGAAGGAGTCGAACTTGTCCCGCAGATCCTTCTCCAGGAAGCTCAGGTGGTCCTCCACCACGCCCTCGTAGGGGCCCAGCTTCTGCCTGAACTCCTCCACCTGCTGGATCATAACTCTGTTGAAGGTCTCGCCATAGGGCTCCACGCTCTGGCGGAAGGCCTGCACCTGCTGGTTCACCTGGCTGCTCAGCTCAGCCAGAGACTTCTGCAGATCTGCTGTGTTGCCCTGCAGCTTACCACGCACTTCTTCCGCCAGGGGCTCCAGCTTCTGCCGCATCTTCTCGGCGCCGGCGGAGATCTGGGTCTGCAGCTGGTCGGCGTTCTTCTTCATCTGGAAGGCCAGGCCCTCCAGCTGGTGGTTGAGCTTCTCCTGCACGTCCTGAGCCAAGGGGGCCAGGCTGCGGCGTAGGTCTTCCACATTCTGGTCGATCTTGACCTTGAGCTCATTGCCGTAAGGGGTCAGGCGTCCCTTGATCTCCTCCACATTCTGGGTGAGCTTGGTCTTGAACTTGTCAGCGTAGGGTGTCAGGGAGGCCTGCAGGTTGCCTGCGTTCTCACGCACCGCCGTCTCCATGAGCTGAGCGTAGGACGTCAGCTGCTGCCTCAGCTGTTCGGTCTGTGTGTTGACCTGGGTGCGCACCTCCTCCGTGTAGGGCCCCAAGCGCTTCTTCAGCTCACGCACGTTTTCCCCGATCTTCTGGCCCACCTCCTCCGCGTGGGGAAGCATCTGGGCTCGCAGCGCTTCCAGCTCCTTCTGAATCTCCTCCTTCATCTTCTGGGAGTCCTTGGTCAGGCGTTCCTGCACCTCTGCAGCGAAGGGCACCAGCTTCTCTTGCAGGGCACCTGTGTAGGTGTTCATCTCGCCGAGTTTGTCCTCAAAGAGGGCGCTGCCGGGAGGAAAGGCACAGGGGGCCATGGTTACTTGGCACTGCCTGCGGGCATCATGCCTCCTCCTCTACCCTTCACCTCAGGCACACCTGCCTAGGACAGGTGAGAGGCCAGGGGTGTCCGGTTACCGTCTCGCCCCTGTGGCCATTCCGAGGGTGGATCATGATTTGAGAGCAGGGCGATGGCAGGCTAAGCTATCACACTGAATTTCGATCTCTGCCTCTCCCCTGGACTTGGGTCACAGTATCTGCGTAGTGTGTGTCTGTGAGCAGTTTGATTTCCTCTCTCTGACTGGCAGGTAGAACAGGTGGACTCTGAGGTGCTGCCAGCTCAGGTGTGCTGTGCCATACGGTCACATCTACCTGCAGAATGTCATGTGGGTCTCTTCTGGCATCTTTTAGGGACACCAGGTGCTGATTTCCTTGCATAGGTCCACCCTCGGGGGCTTCCCAACTATTGCCACACCCTCTCCGGATTTCACAGGGGCCTGTCTTTCTGGAATGTGAGCCCTGCTCACACGACAGTTCCCTCCTGCCCCTTCTACCGTGACTCTCCGTGCTAAGAAGTGTGCATTTGTCTAACCGTAGACAGTTACAGCAAGGAGACATTTAGGGACATCCAGCCCGACCTCCCTGTCTGTGTATGGAGACTGTAGTCCCCGGTTCGGAGACTGTAGCGTCACCCACTGAGTGAGTGGCAGGGCGGGGGTATCGTCAGTTCAGGCCTCTGCCTCCTACCCTGACCTCTGCCCTTGCTGTCATCACATGACCTGTGAGCAGACACGCCCTGCAGACTGTGCCCCTCTTACTTGATCTGCTGGGTCAGTTCAGACTTCTGGAGGTTTTCCACGGCCTCCTTGGCATTGTTGCTCAGCTGGCTGAAGTAGTCCCACATCACAGTGGCTACCTGTTCAGCATTGACCTCAGCCCGGGCACCTGGGAAGGAAACAGCACAATTCATGAGGACTGCTTTGTCTGTCGCTCTGTTCCTGCCCTGACCCACAGACTGACTGATGGGGGAGGAAGCTCAACCCCTGAGGGCCCTCTCTGTGCTTGGCGAGGAAGAAGCCAGAGGGTCGGGGGGATCTGGTGTGGCACCAAAGCCAGTGAATGGCCATCTGGGAGCCAAGGGCTTTCAGAGCTGTCCTCTGGCCGTGGCCCTGGACCGCCACGCCGCACCACGCCACACCAGACAGCAGTTACCTCCCACCCATGCACCCAGCCCACGGCAGCTCCCACTCACCGGTGACGGCCACCAGCACCAGGGTCAGGACCACGGCCTTCAGGAACATCCTGGACTCTTCTCTGCGCTGGAAAAGTCTCGCTGCACTGGATCGAGGGGGACCAGTGGCGCTCACCTGGACTGCTGCCCTGTGCTCTGTGCACTGACTGGAGTTTGAGCCATTTAAAGCCTTGCAGGGCCCCTCTCCCCGCCTCCCTTCCCAGTGACTCCACGTTGGAAGGTGACACATTCCCAGGAGGCCTCCTGGACTTTCGTGACCCCAAGACGACGTGGAAGCCCAGGCAGACGGGGCCTCGGCCGCGTCAGAAGCAGCTGCTCTGTGCTGGTGCCACACCCAGTGTGGAGGGAGGGCAGAGGGGAGCCACAGCCGGGGAGAAACAAGGCCAGGGATGCCCCCACATCCAGGGGGTGCCTAGAGCCCGCTGGCCGCTCGGGGTCTGTGCCAGACGTGGTGGGGGAGCGAAGTCCACTTCTCTGCTCTGAGGCTGGGGAGAGAACCCCACCCTCATATCTGCCTTAGCGTGCTGGACACTAGCCCGGGCGTCTGAGACCCCACACACGGGGCAGGGAGCTGAACCTAGGGTTCTGGACAAGGGGCTCCCAGGAGGAGGGCCCTTGAGGGTCCTCGGGCGGGGACGTAGGGTAGGCAGGGCCCAGGACTCAAGGGGTTAGTTGGAAGTGTTCTGACCCTTTAATACCAAGCTGTGCCACCTTGGACTAGTGACTCAGCATGACCTGGCTCTGAGCCCCAGTTTCTCTTTTGAAAATGGTTTTGTGGGAGCATAACATGGGCTCGTACTTAGGAGCACAGAGGAGCTGCTCTGATATTCTTATTATTACATAACACTGTCCTTTTCCTAACTTGGTCCAAAGCAGGGAGGGTGGCAGAGAGGGGCAGAGTTAGACCCAGGGCCCTGGGGGTCCCCACAAGGGCAGGAGGGAGAGTGACCAGGAAGGGGGTCTGCGGCCTGCTTCCCAACCCCACGCCCCAGCCATCCTCCCTGAGCAAGAGCAGAACCTGAGGCTGCCCGGGGGCGGCCTCTCTCCAAGGGAGGGGGGGTGTGCCTGGCGGCTTCTGCTTGGGCTTCTCCAGTTACCTCCTAGTGAGGTAACTCGCGCCATCCTACAGAGGTCACCCAGAAGAACAAGCAGCTGGCCTACCTGGACCTCTGGGGGACCCCACCCCTCTTGTGTAGGATGCACAGCTCATCTCGCTGCATGGCCAGCTCCCCTGTGTGAGCACAAGCCGGGTGGGGACCCCCTGGTGTGAGCACAAGCCAGGTGCGGCTCTGGTTACCTGCCATCAGAATGCATCACCCTTGCGCTGACCTTGGGTTACCTCTTCTCTCCATTTTCCCACATTCAGAAGTGGCTTGACATCCCACAGGATGGAAGTCAGCTAAAAGCCCTCCTGCTGCAGGAGTGACAAGTCTGACACTGGAAGCGACCGACCGTGGCGGCTGACCACAAGTAGGCGGACGACGCTACAGGGTCAGGAACTCATCTTCCCTGGAGTGGCCGCTCAGCTTGTCAAAGCGCTTAAGGGCTAAGATTCCGGAGTCAGACTCACTGGGCTCACATTGAGCTTCCGTGCCACCCTGGGCAAGTGTCTTAGCCTCGCTGAGTCTCAGCCATCTCGACAGAACACGGCCCACACCCCGCCTCCGGGGGCCTGCGGGTTCCATGAGCTGCCTCGTATAAGGCTGGGACCCTGGTAGAAGGAACGGGCCAGCCCAGGGTGGGTGAAAGGTCAGCGCTCAGTGCTCCGTCCCTTCCATCCTAGGTTTCGAAGAGGAGCGGCCTGAATCATGAAAGACACCTCAGCTGCAGTTTGACCTCCTGGACTGAGACCGTGAGCAGCGGGTGACGCCAGCGTCTGACGGGGCCAGAGTTTGCCTCCGTCTGGCTTGCCGGGGTGCACACACAGCAGGAGCGTCTGCACCCCCGGAGCCCGGCTAGAAGGCTCACGGCTGGGCACAGACCCGTGTGCAGATACCCGAGCTGTCCCGGGCTCAGGGCTGAGGCTGCAGTGGAGGGGCTGAGGCTGGTATGTGCAGGCAGCCACAGCCTTGGGCAGTCGTGCTGGCCCCCGAAAACATGCTGTGGGTGGGTGCTGTTAATGGATGCATATATTTCCCAAACTCTATGGGCAGATTTTGTATGAACCTGCAAATGGATTTGTGCTGGGAGTGATGAGACCTTGTGCCCAGGTAGAGGGTGTGAGGGCTGCTGATGGAAAGACAGGCCTGCTGCCAGCTGAAACTCCTATTCTCTGGGCCACAGGTGGCAGCATCCTCCTCCCCCACCACTTTGGCACCCCACTGGGCACAAAGGGCCTGTAAAATCTCTTTATTTTTATTGTTTATAGTAATGATTTGCACTACTGTATGATTTCAGAGAATAGGCTCACACACCCTCAGATATATATCATCACCCCAAAACCCCAAGCAAAGGCCCGTATTCCTTTACCCTGGGCCAGTAGACTCTCTCCCTCCAGCTCACCCACTATGTGTAGCATAGTATATACTATATATAGTATAGTATACAGTTAGTATATACGATATATATTAGTATATGGTATAGCATGTACTGCCTATAGTATCGTGTATATATACTATGATTGTATAGAGAGATACTATATATCTGCAGTTCCATAGTTCTAAGATTTGTTTGGGTTTAATTTTATATGTTCCTTTGCATTGCTTCTCTGTATTCCATATATGAATAAAATCATCCAGTCTTTACCTTTCTCCTTCAGATTTATTTCATGCTCATTATCCCCTCCAGCTCCATCCATGTTGCTGCAAATGGCAAGAGGTCATGTTTTTTATAGCTGAGTGGCATGCCGCTGTGTCTACAGACCACATCTTCCTCATCCTCTCCTCTGGCATGGGGCCTACGTGATCTTGCACGTGCATGCAGCCTTCTTCTCTGAGCCTCGGGCTCCTTGTGGCTATGGCAGACCTAATGGCTGGTGAGGCGATGAAGCTGCTAGTCCACCAGTCGCCACAGCCCCTGCCCTGTCCACCGCTGGGGTGGAACCAGAGATCACCCCAGAGAATGGAGGAGGGAAGGGCTCAGGCACAGGCCTGGCCAAGGACAGGCATGTCACATGGACACAGATCCCACGTAGATTCCACACAGGCCCGCCCCGCCACCCGCCGAGCAGCATGGAAGGAGAGAGCTCTGGTAGAGGGGAGGAACGGCCAGCATGGAGTGCGTGGGACCCAGAAGGCAGGCCCTAGTCGGGCTGCCTGGGCCCAGCTGGCGGCAGGGCCTTGGTCCCGGACGCTCGTGGAACAAGCTTCACTTGGACACAAGTAGGAAGTGAGAGTCGGCCCAACCCTGACTGTCAAGCCTCCTCCTTCCCCTCCTCCGCCCCCCACACGCCCCCCCCCCAGAACTGGTCTGCGGACCAAGCTCAGAGAGGCTCCCTTTTCAGGGTTGAGGAGAGAAAGAAGAGCAGCTGAGGGGCTCAGGCTGGAGCTGCCGGCAGGGCACAGGCGTTCGCAGGGGGCCCTGGTTCTCTCCCCAACCCTGCAGCAGCACCCTGCTGAGTGTCTGCATCTTGGGACCTCCGGGGGACATGCAGGCGGGAGGAGGGGCTCCCCCAGGCCTCCACACGCATGGGAAGGGTGTCATGGGATCCAGCCAGTGCCGTTCTGGCATGCCTGGGGCCAAAGCCACCAGAGCCCAACCCAGCCTGGAGCCTGGATTCCCACACGGTCCTCATCTCCAGGCATGAGGAGTGCACCAGAACCGAGACGAAAGCCAGCACGGCTGACCTACTTCCCCAAATCCTTCAGTGGTCTATTAAGTCCCTTCCTTCCCTCCCCACCCCATCTCCAAAATGTGTGCTCAGAAAAAGACCTGCAACTAAGTTACTCTGGGTGTCAGTGACTGAAACGCCCCAGGGGGGCGTCTCCCCCCCCCCCCCAGCTGTGTGGTTCTAGCCTATGGGTATTTGTCCCCAGCTCTGTCCTTGATGAGCTGTGAGCCCCAAGAGCAGTTGCTATCCCTTTGAACCTTGGGTTCTTCATCTATCAAGTGAAGGCAACAGTATCTGTTTCACAGGAATCTACCTGCATTTTATCAGAAAACAAAACTCAGTCAAAGGAATGAATCTCTAATAGAGGCATCCAAGTCCCAAGCAGAGGACAAGAATTCTGAGGGTTGGGTCAGGCTGCTTTCTCAGACCTGGGGTTTCACATGCCAGGGTTAGTTATCTCTTCCTGAGCCAGGGCTGCCTGCCAAAAGCTCTGAGTAGAGGCTCCTCCTACCTTTGGGCTATGCTGTCTGAGGGAAGGGGAAGGTGTTTGGGAGCAAGGGAGAGAGATTTCTCCAGCCCTCTCCACAGGCCAGCCTCTTTGCTGGCATTCTCACTCACTCGCCAAAACTGGCACGTTGGTGCTTTACAAAGTGGGGAGCTGTGGCTCTGAGAGGTTGGATCTCTGGCCCGGGGTGAGATGAGTCCCCAGCAGAGGCATCATTGAAACCTACGATAGCTTGACGCCAAGTTCCAGCCCCAAGATCCTGCTGTCCAGGCCCAGCAGTTCCCAGATGGGCCAGGGAACCCTCCCATGGGGGCCCTGGGCCCTGGACAGCCAGCCACCCCCACAGAGCAGCTCTGTGCCTTCTCCCCAGACCCTGTCCGCTCTGGTGGCCCGCCCAGCAGGACACCATGAGGTCTGTTTTCCAAGTGCAGAGCCCAAGGCCCAAGGGGAGGGGTCAGACTCAGCTGCCCCACTTTAGGGGAGGGGCCTCGCCCTGAGTCCCGCTGCTCCCCATGAAATCTTATCAGTGGGTCCAGAGGGCAAGGTGAGGGTAGGGGGAGGAGTGGAGGGGCAAAGGCCTCGGCTCAAACAGCCTTTGTCCTTCTCCCACCAACCCCTGCCCCCGGCTCAGCTTGCCGAGGCTTCTGGGTAATCAGCACCTGGGACCAAAGTCCAGGAACGGAGATGCCAGGGAGAGGGCTGGTGAACTCCACCTCTGCTCATCGTCTTCTGTGACTTCACTCTAGACCCCATTCCAAGACAGAGTAGTTCCCCAGTCTGAGGGAGTTCATCACCCTCTCACCCCACTGCACCCCCAGTTCCAGGCTGTTTTGGGGTTTGGAGGCAAGGGAAGGACCTAAAAATTAAGTGTGAAGGGCTGGGGTGAGTCCAGAGGCCCCTGGCTCAGCCCCAAACTCTTCTCCCATCTCAGGAAGCTCTTCTCCCTGGAATGCCAGGCTCCTTGGGAGGAATAGTTCTCTCCTGAAGCCAGACACCCCCAGCTCCTGAGCCCATCGGGGTGGCAGGGATGGCAGGAGAGCAGGGTGGGCACCCACAGGCTCCTGGCAATTTCTCAACTCTCCCAGCAGGCCTGGCTGCACCTGGCCACCCTGCCTCAGGCAGGCCCTGGTCTAGACTGGTCAGCAGGTGACCTTTGCCCGGCTCACTGGGCCCTCAGTGCCTGCTACCCTGGGGACAATATAAAACAGGTCAGAACCTTCTTGTCTGTCTATTCAGTTCATCCCAAGAGGCAGCTGCTCCAGGTAATGGCCCCTGGGAGGAGCAGGGGAGGGGGGAAGGGGATAGGATGGAAAGGTGGGGTGGGGGGTCCCTGCTGATCCAGCCACTAAGCCAGGAGAGCCTGCCTCAGGGGTGCTTGTACCTCACCTGCAACTCACACTGGGGTAAGCCCAAAGCTACACTGTGGAGGCAGAACTGGGCGGACGTACTCCACATCCAGCTTGCGTATCCCCCATGCTGCATGCTCTGGGCAGCCGGGAGCCACCTTACACATCCTGCCCCCCCCCGCCTCTCCTGCCTGGGGCTCCCCAAGTTCCTTGGCTGAGAGCTCCTCCTCTCTGCAGACTAGCCTGGGAGTGGGCTGCCTCTCCTCCTGGTTCCACCCAACTCAGGGCCAACCTTAAATGCCCTATCACTTCTCCAGGACAGGGGGCCCAGAGGCCGGGGTTGTGTGTGTGTGTGTGGGGGGGTTGGGGATACCACTCACCAGACACTTCCTGGCAGGAACAGAGGTACCATGCAGCCCCGGGTCCTCCTTGTTGCTACCTTCCTGGTGCTCCTGGCCTCTGCCCGTAAGCAGCTGGGGGCCGGGCTGGGGGCAAGGTGGGAGAGGCTAGCTTGGGAAGTGGTTGGGGTGCCAGGCCTGCGGGGGCGCTGGGCAGGGGCCAGGGCTCCCTGGGGCTGATCGTCCCCCTCAGTCCTGCTATACTAATAGGAGCTTTGGAGTCGGAGGAAGCCTCCCTCCTGGGCTTCATGCAGGGATACATGCAGCAAGCCACCAAGACGGCCCAGAACGCGCTGGACAGCGTGCAGAAATCCCAGGTGGCCCAGCAGGCCAGGTACGCTGTCGACGTCTCTTCCCTGCCCCAACCACCAGCTCACTCAGCTCCCACCTGCCCCCAGCCTGGGGAGCGCCTGGCAGCGTGCCAGGGAGGACCACGTTCCCATCTATAATGTCTGCCAGGTTCCTCACGGGGGCTTCCATAGGGACCTGTGGGGGAGATGTCAGAGGCTGGACTCCATTCCCCTCCCGACCCCCCCCCTCCGGCCCCATCTCCGCCATGGTCCCTCTTCCCCCCACTCTGCCCGCACGGGCCCACCTGTACTTAGCAGGGGCGTTCACACTCTTAGTATTTCATTTCCCAGTTTGCTAAAGAGAAAATCAAGACTCAGAGAGGTTAAGTGACCTGCTCCAGATCACACAGCTAATCCACCCTGCAATGTTTTTCCAGCTGAGACCGAGTCCCCTTCCCAACCTGCCCTGCATACTGTATGACACTAGGGGGCGCCCTTCACCCAGAGCAGCACAGCCCTGAGTTTACCATCTCCCCCCACTCACTCCTCTCCAGCTTTCCTCCAGGCTGACAGTACAAAAGTTCACCCCAGCCTGAAGAAATGTGAGCTAGGCTTGTGCCCACCTCGGCAGCTCTTCTGTCTGGGGTGACAAGTGCAGGCGTCCTTGCTGGAGGTCTCAAGGGTGTGGCTGGGTGGGGTGGAGCAGATGGAGGGAGAGACATGGGGGTGTGCGGGACATGGTTGTGCAGCCTTCCGACAAGCCCTCACCCCCACTTCTGGGGCTTCCCCTTCTTGATTTAACCCCCAGGGGCTGGATGACAGATGGCTTCAGCTCCCTGCAAGACTACTGGAGCACGTTTAAGGGCAAGTTCTCTGAGTTCTGGGATCCTACCCCTGAGGTCATACCAACTGTCGCCTCTGAGGGCATCTGAGACCGCAACACCCCAAGTCTGCCTCCCCATCCATCCTGCCGGCTCCTTGGGTCCTGTGACCTTCAGGGATGACCCATAAATTTCTGGGAAAGGACAGTGTTCTCCGTGCGGTCCCACCTCCCCCAGCCCCAGCTCACTCCCAGGCAAGCTGTCCTCCCAATAAAGCTGGACAAGAAGCTGCCGTGTGCAGGCTGTGCCACGTGTCTGTGGGCATGAGAACGGGTTGGGGCTTTGTGATGGGTGGGCCTGGGCCCTGCCTACCTCTTCCTAGCTGGGTGGCGTCGGGCCTGTTTTCCCACCTAGAAGGTAGGAATGACCCTACATGCCCTGCCTGCTTCAACACATTGTGTGCAGGGTCACACCAGCCAATCATTTTGAAAGTGCCTTGCAACAGGACTTGAGTGTGTGCTCTATGCCAGCCACGGTCCTGGCAATTTCATGTCATCCTTGGGGTTGAGATGGGCAGGTGCACCAGCAGTATGGAGCTCAGTGTCACCACCCTGGCTTCCGGCCCTCCCAAGCACATTTGAGGAAGAGGGTCAGATGAGGTAGTGGCCAGAGGAAGATAGTAGCAGCCTCACTTTCTGGTCTGCCAAGAGAGCGCAGCCTGGTGAAGGACTGTCACTGCCCTTCAGCCTGGCTCATTGTCTTCTGGGAACCAGAATTCTTTGGGGTGGGTGGTCAGTGTCCTGGGAGCCGAGGAAAGACACAATTTCACCCCAGCAGAGAATGGTCCCTGTGACCCTTCCAACACATTCAATGAATAGATGTTCATGCTAGAGAGTTCCACAATCATGGAGTACTTGACCAGTCCCCCACACAGACTCTTGTGATGAAAAACCCCAGGTCCAGCAAGGTGAAGGCACTGGCCCAGGTTCACCCATCCCAGACCGCAAGACCAGGCTGCTGCCCGTATGTGTTCTGCTCAGCTGACACAGAAAGAAGCCTGGTTACTCCTCTGCCGGGTGCTAGAGGACACAGGACACCTCTGGGTGGCTTCATACATCCAGTCCCAACTGGGGACATCTGTTCTCTCTTTGGGACGCTACCAGGGCTTCTCTACCAGCCCAAGTGGAACCAATACCCGTACCTAGAGGATGGGTGCTTGACACCTGCTGCTGGAGCTCTGGGTGGTTAGAAATGAAGAAGGCCACTGCTCTGGCCAAGAGGTTGGGGGGGGCAGATAACCCAGCATCCTGCACAGGGGCACAAGGCCTGCGGGGGGAGGGCAGGGGCGTTTCCGTGAAGATGCTTCGTAGCCATGTACTTGCCCATGTGGGGTGTGCACCCTGAGTGTGAAGGACGGGCCAGCTGAGGGCTGGACGATACGTGAAAATGTGAGGGCATGTGCCCACTCATCTGAACTGGAGTGCCTGGCCACACACTTTTATTTTTTTGATAATCTGAAAGCCCGTGGGCAGTGGGGTCTCAAAAAGGCAACCCCAGTGTTTTCAGCCTCGGCTTCACATCTCCGTTTCGGCCTCCTTCTCCTCCTCTGCACCACTGATTCGGGGCCCAGAGCTCTGGGAAGGATGCAGCAGAGGACAGATACAACAGCATCTTGGAAACAAAATATGTCAATTACCTGGAAGAGCTGGTGGTGATTCTCATTTCTCACTCAAGTCAGAGCTGGCAGAAAGCGGGGGTGGCAGGGCCCGGAGCCCCTAGGGTGGGCTTGCACAGCTGTGTCCAGGAAACAGCCAAGGGTGGAAATGCTTTTGTGGAAAAAGAGAAACGTAGATGAAAGCAGTTTTTGAACTCATGGAGGAGGCAGGAGCGAGCTTCAAGCTCTTCATGGATGGGAACCTGCTGGAACCCTTCCCACCCAAGCCTCTCTGAGGCAGGCCAGGGCCTGTGCGTACCCCTCCCTAGAGACCCCACCGCCCCCAGCCAGCCCCTCTCCTGGACCCCCCCAAGCAGGACAACCCCCCCCCCCCAATTGCGGAGCTCTTCCGGGTGCAGACCTTGGCTGATCTGCCCCCTTGCGCATTCCTCGGTGAGGGCTTTCTGAGGAGAGGGCTCCCCAGCAGCCAGGCCCAGGGTCCTCCCTGACAGGCCCGCGCCCACCTGCTGATGAATCAACAGGGTTGGCCGTGCGTGGACACCGCCCAGGCCCGCTCCCAGGGCCGTCCCCTCCAGGGGCCGGCACCCTCGCCCCAGTCTCCCCAAAGAAATAAGCCGCGTCCCACTTTGGAAATATTTATTCTAAGAAACAGAAAGATGGGAAGGGGATCCCCAAGGCGGCCCACCCCCCGCCCCCCTGCAGGGGTTCCGGGCCTAGAGGAGCTGCAGGGGCGGACGTCCGGCCTCTCACGCGCTGTCCAGTGACTTCTGGGCCTCTTCCAGGACGTTCAAGAGGGAGGCCTTGAAGGTCTCAGACAAGGGCTGCAGGCTGTCGCGGATTTCGGTCAGTGTGGGCTTGGCCTGCTCGCCGAACGTCTTCAGGTGTTCAACGGCCTTGGCGGGGTACTCGCCCAGGCCCTTCTCCTTGAGGGCCTTGAGGCGCTCGGCCACATACTTGTGCACGTCGGCGCTGTAGGGCGCCAAGCTGCTGCGCAGGGTGTCCACGTGACTGCGCAGGCCGTCACGCAGCTTCTCGTTCAGCGGCTTCAGCTTCTCCTGCCACTCCTGCAGCTTCTGGCTCACCTTCTCCCGGTACTCCGCGCTCAGCGGCGCCACCTTCTGGCGGTAGTTATTCACCTCCTCCTGCACCTGGTGCTGGAAGGTGTCCAGGTAGGGCTGCAACTTCTCCTTCAGCTTCGCCATATCCTGGTTTATCTCCTGCCTCAGCCCCTCTGATTCCTTTTCCAGGTTCCCCAGTAACTCCAAGGTGACTGGGCCTAATTTTTCATGCAGCTTGGTGAAGGTGCTGCTCAAACTGTCCCAGCTGTCGGCGAGATTCAGGCTGAAGGGGGAAGAAGAGGAGGGGATATAGCTCAGGAGGGGCCTCCCGGGGGCCACAGGCCCAGTGCCTCAGTTTACCCGCGGTGAGATCTGGGCAGCACCTACCCTCATGTGCGGTGGAGGGAGGCCACACTTTGGGCTGAGATTTCCCTGTGCTTTCTGTCCAGCGCCCCCCACCCCCATGGCTGGGCAGGAGCAGAGGAGGTGATGAAGGAGAGCAAGGGGCTTATGGTGCTTGCCCGTGGGGACTGCAGCTCCGAGGACAGTTGGCAGCAAGGCCTGTCCTCGCCAGGACAGTTGGCAGCAAGGTCTGTCCTCGCCAGGGGGCTGTGGCCCTGCGTGGGCACCCCATTCCTGGCCCTCCCAGGCCTCTGTGAGTCCATCAAACAGCAGGAGGGGACTTGGCCAGTCTGGCGGCTACACTGTCCTCCCTTTTCTAGGCCTCTATTCCCGGGGGCCTGTGGCGGCTGCCTCAGCCCCCAGCTGCAGCCTTACCTGAGCTGCTTCCCCACACCGCTGCCGTCAATCTGGGCCAGGTGTTCCCTGCCATTTTCCTTGATTGAGTCCACATACACGGTGATTATATCCTTCACCTGATCCCAAGGAGACTGGGGTTCATCTTGCTGCCAGATATGCCGAGCCTGGCTCCCTGGGGGGAGAGGGGGACGCCAGATCATGCCAGCTCTGGGCAGGTGTCTGAGCTGAAACGCCAGGCTTGGGGGCCCCGAAGGGATGGAGGGTGAGAGAAATGCTGCTCCCCTCCCCCTCTGGACCACAGAGGCACAGGGATTTAGGGAGAAGGCCACCCCCTCACCCTCCCACCTGGCCCACAGCTGGCTCCCAGGTTGGAGGCACCTACCTGTGAGGAAGAGCACTGCCAAGGTCAGCACTGTGGCTTTCATCCTGAAGGGATGTGAGTGACCTGAAGGAGAAGAATCTGGCTGAGTGAGACAGGCCTGGTGCTCGCCCACACGCTGCAGCCAGGGCAGCCTCAGGTATCCTGAGCCCCAGCCTGGGGCTGAGTCTGGAACAGGGTCCCAGAGCCTGAGCCTCTAACAACAGGGGAGCGGGGAGCAAGGGGCCGGAGCAGGCGCACTTACCCCAGCGTCTGCTCTGCAGTCTCTGAGGCCAGCTCTCCCGGCCCTTATTTATGTCTCCGGGCAGGGGCTGGGCTGGGAAGCCGATGAGGCCAGCCCCATCCTTGCTGCAGCTTACTGGTCCTGGCCATGTGGAACTTAGAGTTCAAGGGTCAGCACTGTCCCTGGGCAGGCAAACAGAGTGGGCAAACAGGAAGCTGCGGAGGCTGCATGGCCAGGGGTCAAGGGTTCAGACGGGGGTGGGAGGTGTGGTTGCGGGCGTGCTGGTCCCCAGCGTTGGGGTCGCGTACCCATCCCCTTACTTCCATGGGGTCGTGTGCTGTCACTGTTCATTGTACCGGCATTGCAGGGGAGAGGAGAGACCCGTGATGGCCAGGGACACTTCTCTCCACACTGTGTTCCAGAGAGACTACTTCACACCCTCCCGGCCCTCCTCCAGCACAGCAGCAGACAGTTCTCTCCCACCAGTTCTTCGCATGTCTCCTCCTAGCAGGTTCTCACAACCTCTCCCAAGCCCTTGCAGAGACCTCTCAGAGCCAAGACCCGAGAGCAGCTGTGGTGTGAGCGGTGCCCAGTGGCTCCCAGATTCTGAGATTTCTGAGACCTCTGACATTTCAGAACAAATTTTAGCAACCACTGCAGTTACTCTTTTCATCTAAAAATTGCCCACTGCTCCCCCCCACCCAGCCCCTACCATCCACCGTGACCAGCACTTCAACACAGGAAAGATTTTTAACACCAAAAAAAAAAAAAAAAAAAGCATCAACTCAGACCACAGGGGAGCCACTTAAATGGAAAAATGTGTCTTTGTTCAAATGTATATTGGGTCACACATAAGTGAGTAGTTTGGGGTCCTGGTGTGAGAGAAAGGCAATGGAAGAGAGGGAACAGGGAACCTGATTTCTCATTTCATTTTGTCTTCAACGTGCAAAATCCTGGAGGAGGATCACGAGCCAGTTACGTTACCTCCCTCTGGCTCAGTTTTTTGCTTGTAAAAGGGAGACGAGATTGGCAGGGCTTGCTGGAGAGCCAGGCAAGCTCCTGTCAGCGTGGAGTGCTGTGTGGGCTGGTGCTCGCTGCACCATGTGGAGGCCTTCTCATGGAGGCCCCAGGACCTCCAGCCCAGGTCACTGGTGAGCTGGGTGAAGGTCCGTGCAGAGGGGGACTTCAGAACAACTACTGCAGCTGCTCTGGCCACTGTCTTCCAGAGGAGGAACCGAGGCGAGCTGCCTCTCTGGTCTCCTGGGGAGTTCGAGGTGGGGCCGGACATAGAACCCAGGTCTCTGGACTTAGGACTCAGCACAGAAATGCGCCCCGCACCATCCACCCAGAAAACTCCCTGGGGCCACTGACGGCAGGGTCCTGGAGTGCTGGGCCTCTGGTCTTTCCTCTCAGAGAAGAAAGTTTTGGAGTCTTGACTCTTAGGTTGGAATCTCAGTTCTGCCGCTTACTAGCTGTGTGATCTTGGGCAAGTTCCATAATCTCCCCACCCCTCATTTTCTTATCTGTTACTGACGATAATGGTAGAGCAGGCCATCTCCTCAGTTACAGTTGGGTAAAAGGTATGGCGGAATCACGTCTGCCCCCACTCCCCACATGGTCACGTCCTGATCCCTGGAACCCGTGACTGCTCCCTTACATGGCCAGAGGCACTGTGTGGGTGTGCGAATAAGGACCTAGAGATGGGTCCTTTTGACCTGGGTTAACCTGGGTGATCCAGCTGGGCCCAGTGTCATCACAAAGGTCCTTAAGTAGACAGGAGGGAGGCCGGAGAGGCTGGTGGAGAAGGGGAGAGCACGGAAGGAGAGGGCAGCGTGATGTGGCTGTGGAAGGGACACAGGCTTAGGAACGCGGGCAGCCTCCGCTGCTGGAAGAGGCAAAGATGCAATTGTCCCTAAAGTCCCCAGAAAGAACACAGCTCCGCTGACACCAGAACTTTAGCCTAGTGTGACCCACTAGGGACCTCTGGCCACTGGCGCTTGCTGTCAGACAACAGGCCTGTGCTGATTCAAGCGCTGCCGTTGAACACGCCAGCAACACTGAGAGCTCCTGGTCTGTACTCACTATTCTGTGACTCTTCCCAGCCTGGGTCGCCCGTCCCGCTCCCACAAACACACTCCACTGTCAGGCCAGAGCTAAGACCTGGGCTTCTGGCAGCAGAAGGGGGGTGGCGGGAGGGTAGGGCAACCTGGAATTGCCTTTTTTCTGCTTGGCCCTGACGCGCAGATGCTGAGGGGAGGCACCTCTGTGGAACCCTGAGGATAGGTCCTTAGTGGACAGGCTGCCTGGGCTGCTGCTTGGCCAGCCCCGGCTTTGAGGGAACTCGTCGGTGTGGTCTGCTGGGGCTGCTCTTGGTGTCTTAGCCTGAGAGATACCTTTCTTTCCGTTGGTGGAGCATATAGAACTGGGAACAGGCCAGAGGTGCAGGGGGCTGAGAGGATTCACCAGAGACAGAGTGGGGAGCAGAACGGACAGACTGACCAAGTACACTGCTGAGGGGAGCAGTGGGGAGGCAGGAGAGGTCTGCTGTGCCACATGGGTCACCTCCCTGGCCAGGGATCGAACTCGTGCTGAAGCGGCTGTGGCCAGCTTCCTAGTGCTGTAGCTTCATCATGCTGTGCTCCAACTTGTTGCACCACCAGGGAGGGCCCCTATTTCCAAAGTCTTTATGGCCAAAGCACTCTCAGGTTGGTCCAGCAGGCCAGAGATTCCTAGTTTGGCTGTGAGAAAGGTGTAGCTAAGCACTCTCCCGAGACCTTCAGTCATTAGGATTTGGTGTCGGCAGGGCTGGAGATTGGGAGGCCTTCTAGATCTTTGATGGTTGCCTGTGGGCAGCAGGCACTCTCACTGTCCCCTTTCCCACAGTTGCTGTGCTCTGCCCAGGGACCTCAGCTTCCTGGTTTGGGGATTTCAACACATTGGGCCAGGGAGTGACAGCCTCTGCCCTGCAGGGGGGCCTCTTTCTATATTCTGACTCACTAGTATTCTGCACCACCTCTCTTAGCAGATCTGACTTAACTGTCCCAACTTCCTCATTACTAATACTTAGGAGATCTCTGTGGACAGAGGCCTGTGGAAAAACCACCAGCAGGAACAGTCTGAGGGCATCTCAGAATCAGCCTCAAGGGGCAGCCAGCCATGGCTTGAGGCATCAAATGGGCTAGCTGCTTAGTGGGCGTAAGGTCCACCCACCTAGGCCCTTAGCTCCACCACCCTCTCACGCTGATTTTAGGAATCTGCAGAGTAAGCATTTCGGAAGTTAGAAGGGGGTGGCCAGCCCCTGGTCCCGACTACTCCTAGGTCCCCTGACCACAGGAGTGGATTTTGCTCAGAATGATCAGCAATTCATTTCACAATTTGTCCCAATGACATACTCAGCTTTCTGCTCCGGAAGGACTCTGTCCCCTGGTAGGTCTGGCACATACCAGACACTCAACAAATATTTGTTCGATGAGTGGCATGGGCACACTCGAGGGTCACCAGGATGGCACAGGGTCATCGGAAGGAGTGGGCCTTGGCAGGAGACTCGAGACACTCAAGCACTGACCCTGTACTCTGGGCCTCGCTCAGAACATATTGTGAAGTGCTTGTGGTGCAGGTCAGGATGGATGACTCGGGGTTGGGATGGTTCCCAGTGAGCAAGGGAGAAAAAGAGGGTGTCCCACCTTATTTTCTATTTGGCAATTTTGATGCAGCTCCTGGTGACAATTAAGACCCCAGGGCTGGGCACTGTAACCAATCACATACAAGATTCTTGTCTGATCACCTGCGTGGAAAGTCAGGTCAAGACAATGGTCTGGTTTTGGGAGCACACCGGCATCTGAACTCTTGATCCCAGCAGTTGGAATGGGATGGGCTAGCACGAGGTCAGAAGACTGCACTGGGATGTTACTCTGGCTTCTATTTTTCTGAGCTCAGATCACAAGGTTGTTAACGAGGCAACACTATCCTCAAAGCTCATCCTACCTCTGGTCAAAGGTGCCCTGGCTGCCTTCAGGAAAGAGTGGCACCTACTGCAAAAGGTTCTACGAGTTGCTAGAAGGCATCTGAGTCTATTGGTTTGGTTTTGAGACACAAAGACTTCCACACACGTGGGTACAGACTCGACTTCAAGGAAGTTCTGTGAGAAGGCTCGCTCCGTTCTAAACAGTCCCACAGCGACTTTCTCATCCATCTTGGACTTGAAGGCTTTTGCAAGTTCCCTGCTCTCCCTCTTCTTTCTATAAGTTATTTCCAGCTTCAGTTATCTTCCTTCACAGAAGAATTTCAGTTAGCTATCACTTAGCCATGCCTGGGATCTTGCTGGAAAGTCTACCTTAACCTTTGGAGTCCAAGTATGGAAAATGGGAAAGTTGTAGGAAATGTCCCGCGCTTATCCTAACACTCACTTGATCCTATCACCAGGCTGACTGGGGCATCTCATAGGGTCTTGGCCTGTACCGGCTCTTTGAGGACTCCACGCCTTCAAAAGTACCCTCAAGGATCTGCTTTCCATCCGACTCAGCAAACGCAAATTCAGCCTTCTGAAGGGACAGAGTCCAGGCTGGGTGCCAGAGGACACCGGTGGAGATGAGCTCAGGCTTCCAGAGAATGCTAGTTTTATAAGGCAGGGTGAGAGCATGGTTTGCTCACAGTTCTACCCTGAGACTTCAGTCTCCAGTGTTCTAGTTTCTACCTGCTTGGATGCTTCTCTCCTTCATGGAGATCTCAAACCACTAGGCAAATAAATATCAAGGTAAGGTCCTAATCAAGTTTTTATTTTTACAATCCCCTATGTCCATCTGAGTTATAAGTCACAGGCCCCCACAAAAATGACCAGA